ATGGGGATTGGGGGCCTTACTTCCCTTTTTTTCACAGCCGGCCCCTTGGGGGAAAAAAGAACCCGGGGGGGTGGGCACGGGGCCTTGGCTGGGAAACCCAGCAACACTTATCCCCACCCAATTTTGGGGGGAAATTTAGGGTTGTGAGGGTCTGGTGAAAAAAACTGCTAAAAGTAGGCCAGATTTTTAAAAACCTCCTTTTTTTTTTCAGAAGGAGAAAAATTATTTTGTTTTATGGATCCTCTAAAAAAAATTTAAAAAAAAGGGGAAAAAAAAAACTGGGGTTTTGCGTAGTGAACATTTCCCCTGTGCTAAAAACGGGAAACTTTACCCAACATTACTTTTGCCCAAACAGCAGAACTGATTGCTCTTTTCTGAAGCATGCAAATTTTTTGAAAGACCCAAAAAAAATAAATATCGGCAGATTTCCCAAAAATTTTTTTGGCCTACAACAATACCTTTGCAAACATTGGGGAAAAAAAGAGGCATGATAACATCAACCGGGAAACTAGGGACCCATGGGCCCAAATTTTCTGAAAGAACTTTTACCAAACAGTACAGCTGCCCAAAAAACTGGAATTTTGCAAAAGGCGGCCCACACTCGGGAAAAGATGCTGTTTCAAAAGGGAATTCCTTTGAAAATAAAATAGCAAAAAAAGCTGCTTTAAAAGAAAAAACAGTTTTAAAATTAACAGACAATTTTACTAAAAGACGACCTTCTTTTCAAGAAAACCCCCAGCAGCAAGCTCCTAAACAAGGGAAAAAAAAGAAAAAAAAAAAAAAAGGAGCACGATTAAAAGGGGGGGATTTTCACCTGACCAAAAAAATAAAACCCAAACCTTCCAAAAAAATTTTACAAATGGGCAAACTATGTTGACCCCTGGTAAAAACTCATGTTTCAACCGGGGGATGGTAGGAAATTGGGGAAACCAAACAATACGGGCCTATGGTTTTTAATGCTTATTCAAAAAATTTTTTTTAGAGCATGCTTAAAATGTGCAAAACAAAAAATGCTCAGGGGAACCTAAGGCCTAAAAGAGGGCAATTTTCCAAAGCCAAACTTCCCCTTTTTAACATATACATATGGATTTTATAAAAACTAAGCCCTAGTGAAGGTAAAAAGTTCTGTTTTTGTAAATATTTTACTCGTTTTTTTAAATGGGTTAGAACTTTTCCTACAAAACTTTCCCGAGCACTAACCCTTTGGGAAAAGCATTATGCAAAGGGCAAATTCCCCTTATGGGTTTTCCCGAGAAAAAAAATTTTTAGGGTAATGGGGACACATTTTTGTAAATCGATAATAACCAAAAAAAGGACAAGCCTTTCACATAGATTTGAAAAAAAACCCCTGTGCTTTCATCACCAAAGCGCAGGGTTTTTGGAAAGAAACGAACGGATTCGTTTTTAAAAAAAACTTAGGAAATGTATGGGGGGGGGGGGGGGGAAAAAAACGGGAAAAATCATGGACTCAAAAGTTTGGGTTTTGTTAAAAACACATAAATATTACAAGTACACCGGGTTTTACCCCCCTTTTGAAACAATATTTTTGGGAGACCATATAGACTTTCCCCATTTTAATAAAAGCTGGGAAACAGATGAAAAAAGTACTCTAGCAGACCCACATGGGGAAAGAAAGCTGGGGCAACAAAACAAAAGCTGAAAACCAAAAATGACAGTGTCCCACCCTCTGTGTCTCCAACGGGGGGGAAAAACCCAATTTGTTTTAACCAGGTGATTGGGGCCTCATAAAAAGCATTAAAAAGGAAACATTGGAAATTTACCAAGTGGGAAGGACCCCATAGGGTTTTTTTACCACTCCAACTGCATTTTAAAAAAAAACTGGGAAAAAAGCAAAATGGATCCCCCTTGTCCCCAAATGCAAGGAAAAGGAAAAAATAGATCAGAAAGAGTAAAGTGTTTAAAAACACTTTCCCTTTAAATTTTTCTGTGGAACCTTTCCGTACTGCTTTGCACCCAGTAAATTTTCCCTTTTGGTACCTGTTAATAATTGCATTTGGTTCCCCCTTCACCGCCCCCAGAGGAAGTCCCCCTCGTACAAAGGGGTTTAAAATTTTTTAGCATAAACCATCTCAAAAATGGTGAAGGTTTAAACCTGCCGAGAAGGGCATAGGAGTAGACCACTGTGTAAAAGATTACCCATAGGAAACTTTTTGAAGTTTGAACCTAGATGATGTTGCAACTTTTCATATTAGTTTTGTTTTTAGCTCTCACTCAGGGCAAGGATTCTTGTTGCCCCCATGAGCCAGCTATTTGTAAAAGGGACGTCTATCTCTGCTATAACTCTACTAGAGTAATCAGTGTAGTGACTATTCCTTTTCAAACATTCTCGCAAAGATTTAAAATTGACCCGGGAGATTGGCGAGGTTATGATTTCTACCTATATCCCCGTGTAGTTCAAAGAACTCAAAAGAGTTGGGGAGACGTTTTCAGAACCACTGGACAGTGGAAAAAAGGATCGTATGGATGGACATCTTTAGCTAAGAAATGGATGAGTAGAATATCAGGGTTCACTGTTAACCATGCCTCCAAAGTTTTCACTATGACAATAAACTCCACAGCAGAACCCCTTGAGAAGGAAGGCTGTTCTTCCTCATTTATATGTGCACGGTCTAGTGAAACCGATCCGTGTTGGACATTGTATCTGTGCTCTGCAAATGTTACACAAGAAGAAAATGAGATACAAGGGATTCTTACTTCTGCCCAAGGTGAACAGATAAAAATTCAAAATATTAATGACCCGCTTAAAACGGATGAACTGTTTCAAGTCACCACTGGAATCTCTGGGCAAACAAATAACTGGCTTTTAATGGCAGAACAAGCAGCTAAAACAGTGTCCACTGATTGTCTTGTGTGTATGGGAGCCAGACCGCTGTTACGTGTGGTTCCTGCCACCATAACTCCTCAATGTCTTCTAAATATAATGAATTATACAGTTCCAACTGATAATTGCACCTATTGGGATAAGATCTATCCCCTGACCACAGATGAGAAGAAAAAACCAATCTTTTTGAAGAAAGTGGCTGTGGCAAATTTCACCTGTGTAAACAGGACCGGAGTGGGCCCAAAATTGGGTACACTAAATGAAAAACAATGTGCAAGCATTTTACTGGTATCCACCTTTTTTAAACTTCAATCCCACAGCGACATCTGGTGGTGGTGTGGAGATGACAAATTGTTTGACAAACTTCCATGCAACACCACTGGATTGTGTGCTGCAGTCACCTTGATTTTATCTGTTTCTATTACTTCACTCACAATGGATGAATTGTTAATGACTGTAAACAGTATTTTACCACATACATGGCATACTAGAAGAAGGAGGGCATCTGAAAATGCGTGGAGTCCAGATGACCCTACTTATATTGACAGTATTGGAGTACCCAGAAGTGTTCCAGATGAGTATAAACTAGTGAATCAAGTTTCTGCAGGATTTGAATCTTTCTTATGCTGGTGGTGTACTATAAATAAAAATGTAGACAGGATCAACTACATCCATTATAACGTCCAGAGGCTGGGAAATAAAACAGAACAAGGCTTCTCCGCCGTCCATGAACAATTGTCAGCTACCTCTCTGATGGCTTTCCAGAACCGTATTGCTGTTGACATGTTGTTAGCTGAAAAAGGTGGTGTGTGCTCTATTTTTGGAGATCAGTGTTGCACCTTTATTCCCAACAACACTGCTGCAGATGGCAGCCTCACAAAGGCCCTTGAAGGCCTTCGCTCTCTTAACAGCAAAATGAAAGACCATTCTGGAGTTGACACAAAAATGTGGGATGGATCTGGAGACATTTTTGGTAAATACAAACAACTGGTACTTTCTATTTTGATGTCTGTAGCTATATTTGCCGCCATCCTGACCTTATGTGGATGTTGTTGTATTCCATGTATTAGAGCGCTGCTAAATAGACTAATTACCACTGCAATACAACCCATGAAAACAGAAATGTATGCCCTTATGTCCACTGAGGAACACCTATCGGATGATGAAGACAGCGAAGAGGATGAATTCTCTTTACACTTTCCTGACTTTTATCCTAATCCCAACGACAATAACCCACCAGTTTAAAGTACCTCTGAGTGTACCCTTTACAGCTAAAAAAAGAAAAAAGAATGATTTCTTAGTTTAAAATCTGAAAAGAAGTAACTATTGAATGATAAAAATAAATAGCTTAAAGTGAATAAACAGGAGGGAAATGTTGGGTTAATTAATTGTACATAAGTTATTCTACTTTAATCATATTATACTTACACATTTTGTTATCTCTATCTTACTCATATTACAAAGAGTGTTAAAACATTTAGTTTTGTTTGCTGTGTCATTAATGTTTTTTAAGTCTGTGCAGGAGGGATGTTGACTGCGACTGCTGTTAACAGATGTCGTTAAGGGTGTGGAGGAGAATGGAGAACTGTGCAACTAGATAAGGAGAGGGGTTCTCCTTATCCTCTGATGTTGTATGATGTTGTACGAAAATTCTGGTTTCAACTGGGTTCTGTTCCCTCCCCCTTTAGCGGTTGAAACCACATTGTAATCAGGGCGTTTCTTCAATAAAGGGCTTGGAGAGCAGATACTGCTTCAGAGTGGGTTTGAAGTTGTAACTGAATGCAGTTTCTGATCCCCTCTCCTTGCAAGTAAAATATACTAAATTCTCTGTGTCATTCTTTGTGCAGGTTGCTGAATAAGGTGTTTGGTGTTCAAACCTAACAGAAAACATAAGCAGAAACATAAAATAAAGTAAATAAAAAACCTCAGTATGATAATAAAAGTAAATAATTTAAAAAAGAACAGCTATTACAAAGTTCTAGTATGTAAGATGGGGAAGTTGTTTTTTTTACTTCTGAAGTAACCATAGTTATGTGATAGGTTTTTCACTACAATTATTACAAAAATACTTCATTTTATTTTATTATATCAATAATCACTGAGTTTAAGTCATTGCAAATATATATGGCAAAGAAAACTGATTTTCTGTAATGAACAGATGATCAGCAAACCAGTTGGCTCTCCAGATATTCATGAGCTGGTTCTGTCGAAGGAGGAATTTCAGAAAAAGGAGCAGAAAAAAGAGGATGTTTACAGTGACACCATTCTAAACAGAAGGGTGAGAGCTTTTAATTTTCATATTAAAAAGAGAGAGTTATAACTCAGGTAAAAATAAGAACACTTATCTTTGTGCTGCAGCCTGGTGACTTCTCACACATAACAGAGGAAGAACGGTTCCTTCGTAAAATCATCAGTGAAGAAACTGGAAAGAACAGCTTCACTGTGGTTGTCATAACAGGAGTTTCTCATGATCACATCAAATACCTGAAAGAGGACTTTGATGAGTGGACCAGAGAGCTAGCGTGAGTTTACCTCCCCATATGAAACCTGTACATGTATAGAGTCTGGATAATGATAAATATCTTTTTGTTTTAATGTGTTTCAGCCACATCTATCATTATTACATTCATGGAGTTAATGGAAACTGCAAAACAGACATTTCACAAAGATCAGAGAACTTGCCAAGAATTGACATTCTTGTATGTCTGATCACAATAATTCCAGTTTGAGCTGACAACTACTGTGTTAACTGAAAACATTTAAAGTTTCATTTTCTTTTGATTCATCAGGTAACATTGCAGGCTTCCCAGAGCCCACGTACGATCAATCTCAGACAAGTGGATGATGACATGCAAACACAATACATAAATGCAGCCACAGACACATTTGAGTTTAGGGCGGAAACTATGGATCATGGCATTGTTGAGGGTGTTCTTAGATACCATCCATTTCTCTATGACAGAGAGACCTATCCTAGAGATCCATATGTCAAACAAGGTATTAAGATCTGATGTGGTGTTATTTCACTTTTATTTAACATATATTTAAAAAGGATTTACTTCTTTTTGTTTTTAGTTCCTGGTAAGGATGATTATAATGATGATGATGATGAAAGGGAGTCTACCGCCATAAATCAGGCAAGGGGGAAGAGGGACATCTTTGAATGTTTCTGGAATGGACGTCTCATCCCCTACACAACGATTTCTGAGTAAGTAATAACTTATCCATTTAGATTTTTATTGGAATATCTCTATATTTTCGGGTTGTTTTTGTAAAGGTTTTCTACACTTAGTTATAAGCCCAGTTTCCTCGTTTGTGGATAAAAAGGTTTTGTTATGTAAGGAAGCTCATAGACCTTTAATTTCAATTTTGCAATCTAGAAGGAAGTTATTAATTCTGTTAAACTGCATTAACAATTTAAAGCTTATAAGAGAGCTCATAATCCAGTTTAATGATCTAAAGGAATGAATTTTTTTTCTTTCTGTCTAGATATCTTACTTAATGAAGAATAAGGGGTTATCCCTATCTTCCTTGGGATTTCCAATATATTTCAAATATATAAATAAATGAACACACTAATAATTATAACATCAATAAGAAATGTAAAATACCTGCAGACCTTGCGGCCAACAAAAAAATAAATATATATATATTTTTTTTATCTACCGAAAAAGGGAAATGTGATATTGCAACTCATATATAGGGGTTTCCGCAACACCCTGTTGTAGATGTTGATTGCTGGTTTGCAGGTTTGGAAAGGCCTATGAGTGGGAACACTGTGTTTCTAACAGCATTTTGAAGAGAATGCCTGTTGCTGTTAATGATGTTCTTCATTTTATGAATAATTGTTTGTAAAAAAATATCCAAGGATTTTAGAGGAGTTCCCAGAACAATCCTTTTTACTAGCTTGCTGAGCTTCTTAAAGTTGATGTCACTGATACTGCTATGCCAACAGACCTAAACTTGTTTAAGAGGTGCTGTCCTCTCTGTTCCTTCTTGTAGACCAGGGGTTACCAACGTGGTCCCTGTGGGCACCAAGGAGGCGACATGGGGTGCCTGAAAAATGCACAACTTTCCAGTTGACATTTTGTTTTATTCTATTGCTCTTCTTTTTTAATCATTTATAGAGCATTTTATCATTTTGATTTACATTCAGGATCAGATGATTGTTTCCACACAATGCCAAAGGTGCTCCACCATTTCCTTGTATCAGCTTCTTGTCCATCTCTGCTACAATGGCTGCAAATTGGTTAATGCAGATGAGAAGACTCCCTCATTCTGAAAATCTCTTAATAAAAGGAATGGTTAGAATATTGTCCCCTGTGCTGCTCCTGTGCTTCTCACTACTTGGATAAATAATCAACCCTTCAGTTTCACAAACTATGGTCTTTTTTCAGGTAGACTTTGCTCTGGGTTATTGTTGAGGCCTCCTCTTTAGTCCCATCACTTCCAGTGATGTTAGGCCTCTTATGGGGTCTCTAGAGAGGGGGAGAGCCAGGGAGCAGGATCTGAAGCTGTCTACTTGATGCTGATTGGCAAAACCCACACAATATTTGACTGACAGTGAGCAGACAGAGGAGAGTTTTTCCTCATGAGACTTAGACAAGAGAGGAAAAAGCGATCATTCAATCAGAATACTCATCTTGTGGTGAACTCTTGCCTTTATTTCTGGATTTCATTTGTTCAGGGTGCTTCACAACTTCTATTAACACTCATTGTAGCAATGTTTTTATGTTTTTCGACTTTTAATAATGTAATATGTTACATTTAGATTTATTTAACACCGTTCAGTAAATTAAATCATTACTGTTAAATTGTATGTATTGTCCAATTGTTTATTTGAATTCTTATTCCGGATTAGTTGGAGACATACACTAGACTATATCAGCCCCACCAAAAATATTTTTCACCAGCCGCCACTGTGATTGACACCTTTTTTTTTTTAAACCAATAGATTATTTCTGCTGCCTGGTTTCTGGGACAGATTCTTCAGGCTTATAAAAAATGTGACACAGTTCTCAATTTAAACAGTGCTGAAACATTTAATAAAATTATACAAAACATGTTAACAATGGAAAGTAAATGGTGGAAACAGTAATTTGTGCATTTTATGCATTCTTAAGGCATGGCTGCTGAACGCATGAATTAATCTGCAAATAAACACACATACACTGAAAAACATAATGCAACTGTTTTAGGGATATACTTAATCATATTTAGTTACTTTAACACAATTGTTCCATGTTAGCAGGGTAGGACATAAAACAATTTAGTTGAAGTAACTAAATATATTTAAGTAAATGCCAAAAGTGGTTGCATTATTTTTTTAGTGTACCAGCTGAAAAAAAACACAAATAGGCCAGCTGTTGTATCACTTAGCTCCAATTGAATCCCACAATTCCATAATCATTTATTCTAATCACTCAATTGAATAGACATAATTTGGATTCAAATTTTACCAGAGTAATAAATCACCATTGAAAATATCCTCTCTAAGCTTGACTGTTGGTGCTAACAGACAGGTTGGCTCAACAAGAATTTTAAAGGGTAAACTGACACAAAAGGGAATAAAATCATTGTAATTTTTGTGTGTTTTCTTTTCATTTATGTTTTTCTAGTTTTGACTGGTGCCAAAGGAAAAGGGGATCAAACTTACCTCCACAGTGTTACAATTGCTTTTCTGGTGTGCTTTTCACTGATGGAAAATTTATGGTCAACGCCAACAAGTTAAAATTCATGAAACTTGAGAAGCAGCTGAAAACTGTGGATACAATTTTTACCACTGGAAATCTTGCTCAGGTGACAATTTGCTTTTTTTCATCATAGCTGACTTTATCTAGGAATTTTCCAAATAATGAGCACCAATTTGTTCTTGTCAACACAAAAATTGCCCATTCAATTAGTGAGGCAATTAATAGCTGAAGAAGATCAGTGCCAATATGTCATGATATATGTTTTTTTTATTTATTAATTAATTTATTTTTTTGGTGGGGGTGTTGGCCGTTATTAGCATATAAATCATAACAGCATATGGCATTCCTGTGCTCACATTGAAAACAACAGTGGACATGTTTACCTTATTTACAGTAGTTGGTGGAATTTTCGATTGGAAAAATCTTTGCCTCTGGTCAATTTCTTTAACTTATGTCACAACCACAAACAATTCCTGATTGGTTGCTACCATGTGATTTTAAAGAAAAGTTCAGATTTTTTTTACCTCCAAGGTTACCACTCCGCTCCCTTCATGCGGTGCCACTGTTTAAGAACACTGCAGTTCTGTCAAGTACTCACTGCGTGAGAAAAAAACTCACTGGCAGCTTAACCACACTTCTCTGTGTGGTTTACATAGGGATACCATGTTACTCCACCACCCTGATCTTGAGCTGAATGCACTTTAATGGGATTTGAGTTGCTTTGAGTTGGGATTTGTGATCATGCTTCCAAAACAGTCTCCTTCATTATCTCACTCGATCCAAGGTGGCAGACCCCGAATGACTTTGTTATAGAGTCCATTGGAGGCTATAGCGGATATAGAGAAAAATAAAAGAAAAAATAATTTTACGTTTGACAATCGTAAGGGCCTGTATGGGAAATGAAAACAAATAATTTACCTTTTAAACTTGTGCAATAACCCTTTAAGTAACCTGATGTTTCGGATTTTTCTCAGAAAACCTCTAAAAGAGCCAAGATTGAAAAAGAGTTTATCCGGTGGCTCCAAAACTGTCATGAAAAGTTTGACAAAGAGGTGAGATTTATTGGCTATAAAGAAACTGTGACGCGACCAGAATTGGAGACTCAGAAAAAGCAATATCCCTGGGCAGTGTTTTCCTCCATCGAACTTGATGGCAAAAGATATGATACAGGGAAAACTGTAAGTGCTTTTTGATTCCTTATACGACTATATCTATGTATGTCTGTATATGTGTGTACAGGGGCGTGCACACATAGACACTAGGTGGTGCTAAAGCACTAGGAAGTTTGCCCTCTATCAAAGAAAATGCCCTTTTGAAACTCGTTTTTTTTTTATTATTATTAATATTATTAAGATTTTACTGAGGTCGGTTTTGAAATGATCTTTTGAAAACCTGAGCCATTAAAAACGACTGAAACAATGCCCCGAAATGACCGATCTACTTGCGCACAAACGACCAGCCTCTCTCTCTTCCTTTGTCACGTGAACTCGCTCGGTCGCCCGCAGGGCATGCCAGATGCGCAGCATCATAGCAGTTTTCAGATAGCAGGAACGGTCGCTGACAGGCTGCTTCTCCCGTGCCCCATTAGCCAGGTAATATACAGATCAAGCAGAATCATTTTGTTGTGCATTAAAATGTCTCATTCAGCAGCACCAAACACGCATTTTGCCGACTGGTCACCAGATAAACTAGTTGTCTCCTTGTAAGATGCTATTTTACTTTTTATATTTTGTATCCATATTTTTTATCTTAAGTGTATACATTAGTCTATTTTATGCATGACGTATACCCACAGTTTTTAGATATTTTTATAATTTTATTTACCTATTCCATATTATATGTTTCATGTTGCACGATTGTACCATAAAAAATTCCTAGTTTGTGAACTCCTTCACTAACAATGGCAATAAACCTGATTCTGATTCTGAAAGTTTTACACTGTAGCCCAAGTCAATGACAGATAACGTGAGGACGACCACATAGGCTACAAATAATTTTGGTAGAGTTTGCAATTGCAAATACGGAAGAGGATTAGGGCCACTGAAAAAAAAAAAAAATAAGTTAACTGATTTTTAAATTTTATTTCAGTTTAGTATGGGAAAAAAGTCAGAATGCTGACTTTAATCTCATAATTCTAACTTTTTTCTTATAATTCTGACTTTTTGCTGAGAATTCTGACTTTTTGCTCAGTATTCTGACTTTAATCTCAGAATTCTGACAATAAAAAAGTCAGAATTCTGACTTTTTTCCCATGTTAAACTGAAATAAAATTTAAAAATCAGTTAACTTTTTTTTTTTTTCAGTGGCCCTAATCCTCTTCTGTACAAATCTATGTGTTAAGACAAACGCTTTCTGTTGTATAGGTTTTGTTAGGCAACATAAATTAACACATTTTGGTCTTTTTATTGTCTTAATTGTATATTGATTTAGTAATTGCAGCACAATGCCAAGAAAGGAGGGTTAATCATATTGAAAAATCTTAAAAGCTGTTCACATTTTATTTTTAAGTGGTTTGTGCAGCAGGTATTAAAATAGCTATTATTTTGTAGGCTACCATAAGTCATATCCACGTGACAAGACTTCCAGTCATGTTGCCCTAATAGCCCATTATTAGGGGGGCCACATGCCGAAGGCATGGCCCACCTATTACTATTGCACATATTTATTCCGCGTATTATTAGGGGGGCCACATGCCGAAGGCATGGCCCACCTATTACTATTGCACATATTTATTCCGCGTATTATTATTATAGCTTATAGTTCTCCTCGTCCCCTAAAAACTTCGGCGCGTAACTAGTCACGCACCATTCGTCGGATCGGGCCCAAAGTTGGCACACGCGTAGGGACCAATGGTGCGATGCGTGCTTGTATAAAACTTTCTCATTAGTCCGAAGGTTCGCGAATTATTAGCGAAAACGTTGCAAAAAAAATCCCATAGGAAATGAATGGGGAGAGGAAAAAAAGCATAAAAAACAGCACCTCACTGTGTCGGCATACATTCATGTAGAAAAACAGTTTAAAGCTCAGTTTGTAGATAAATCCTTCGTCTATTTAAAACTGAAGACGGTATGTTGATAACTGCTACGGTTTTTGTATAATCAGACCTCAAGCGCCACAAAGTTTTAGCAAAATCCACCCTTCTAGAGTGGAGAGACTGAAAAGCTAGAGTGTGAGGCAGCCGTTTTTTTAAGACCAAAAAACATTTTAAAATCGCCCTCACGGCCACATATTTATAGCTAGAGTCACCATTTTTGGTCAGTTTGTAGGCTGAAACCTCTGGACTCACACAATGTCTTCAGAATTACGGTAGGATTAATACTTTTCCTTAAAAACGCTCCAGACCGACCTAAAGTCGATGAAAATCAGAGCCGTTTTTCATTGGTTTTGGAGCAGCAGTGGGGAGAAAAACGAATGACATTATATGTTTTCAACTCGTCATAAATATTTTTCTGAAAGACACACATACACCAAAGTTGGCATAGTTGGAGTCGAAGGATGGCTGACGCTCACGGTGAAAGAATTTTTTGAATAACTCATACGGTTTTTGCTCAGCAGTCGTTTGTTCGGAGGACATTTTAAGCACCAGAAAGCTGGGTGAGAGGGACCTGCTGCAGCTAGCCCAATTAAAAGATCAGGTGTGAGAAAACGTTTTTTCTTTTTCTTTCTCTTCCCATTCAGGTTGTAAATGACCTACAGCCATGAAAGTTACTCCAATTGAAGACAAGATATAGCTGTAGCTTAGATAAAAATAATTTTTCAGATACCTTTTACGGTTTTTACTCGGCAGTCGTTTGTTCGGAGGGGTGCTTTAGCAGCTTAAAGGTGAGTGAGAGTGTGATGCTGCAGTTAAAACAAAGGGAGGAGCAGGTGGGATTAGCCATTTTGTTTGTGCTTCGTTTTGGGTTGTGAAAGACCTACAGACATGAAAGTTACCCCAGTCTGAGACAAAGGATAGATGTTGCTTTCACTGAAAGAATTTTTCAAATACCTTTTACGGTTTTTTCTCAGCAGTCGTTTGTTTGGAGGGTAAGAACCTGGAAGCTAGCTGACAGTTAGCTTCTGCAGCAGCCTGCTGCAGTGAAGCAGGCTGTCGTTTTTTTAAGATAAAACATTTTGTTCTTGCCTCACGGCCACATATTTGGAGCTACAGTCACCATTTTTGGTCAGTTTGTAGGCTGAAACCTCTGGACCCACACAATGTCTTCAGAATTACGGTAGGATTAATACTTTTCCTTAAAAACCCTCCAGACCGACCTAAAGTCGATGAAAATCAGAGCATTTTTCCATTGGTTTTGGAGCAGCAGTGGGGAGAAAAACGAATGACATTATGTGTTTTAAACTCGTCATAAATATTGTTCTGAATGACACACATACACCAAAGTTGGCATAGTTGGAGTCGAAGGATGGCTGACGGTCACGGTGAAGAAATTTTTTGAATAACTCATACGATTTTTGCTCAGCAGTCGTTTGTTCTGAGCTGTTGCTCCCATTCAAAAAAGCCTGAGAGCAAAGGAACGATAGTGCTGCGCTTTTCTCTCTGTCACTGACAGGCTCGTTAAGCGTTGTCAAGGTAACCGTGCTTCAAAGAGATTTTACCTCTGCTGTTTTAAACAGCACATATTAATCTAATGGAGGGTGAAAGCACTGATTTAACATTGGGAAATGGATACTATATGACTGCTGTCCATGACACTTCCCTTGCCACTCAACACTGATAGACTTTCAAAATAAGACTCCAGGGACCCTACAAAATAAAAGCCTCTATATTTTTTACATATATTTATTGCCCTATATGGCTCAACATTATGACCCAAACTCAACCCCATTTTAGAGAATAGACTCTAGGAGACTGTTTAAAACACACCCTAAGGCAAATTTCAAAATAAAAGCCTCCCATTTCATCTTCATCTACTGCCCTAATAACATGGAAAAAAGAGTGATTTAACGATTGGAATTGTCATCAACTATCATTGCTGGGTCTGAACATTTTCTCTAAACACAACTCTGTTGGACTTTCAAAATAAGACTCCAGGGACCCTACAAAATAAAAGCCTCTATATTTTTTACATATATTTATTGCCCTATATGGCTCAACATTATGACCCAAACTCAACCCCATTTTAGAGAATAGACTCTAGGAGACTGTTTAAAACACACCTTAAGGCAAATTTCAAAATAAAAGCCTCCCATTTCATCTTCATCTACTGCCCTAATAACATGGAAAAAAGAGTGATTTAACGATTGGAAAGTCATCAACTATCATTGCTGGGTCTGAACATTTTCTCTAAACACAACTCTGTTAGACTTTCAAAATAAGACTCCAGGGACCCTACAAAATAAAAGCCTCTATATTATACTAATGCAGTAATTGATGCAAATGGCTCAACATTATGACCCAAACATTTCCAGGTTGTTTTTATTAGACTCTAGTGACCTTTTCAAAACACACCCCAGAGCAAATTTCACAATAAAAGTCTCCCATTTACTCTGTAATACAGCAGCTATTCACCTAATAACATGGAAAACCAGTGATTTAACATTTGGAAATGGATTCTATATCACTGCCGGGCATGACCCATCTTTTGATGCACATCCATGATAGACTTTCAAAATAACACTACAGGGACTCTACAGAATAAAAGCCTCTTCCTTATACACACTCATACATTCTGGCATATTGCTCATAGCCATTTGTAATTTTATCACTGCAATGGCTCTGAGCATGCGGGCGGAGCCCGCCATTGGTGATTTCATCACTGCAATGGCTCTTAGAAGGCGGGCAAAGCCCGCCAATGGTGATTTCATCACTGCAATGGCTCTTAGCAGGCGGGCGGAGCCCGCCATTGGTGATTTTTTTCATCGCTGCAAGGGCTCCTAGCAGGCGGGCGGAGCCCGCCAACTGCGCTTTACCCACTGCGGTTCAATATGGACAACCCATATTACCCTTGTGCATCATATGCTGTGCACGTCTATTTCCCAGATTTCAGCACAAGTGGCACACAGCTCTCTTTGCCCATGACCTAGCCCTCTTTCCTTCCCTCAGCAGCCCTCAAAGGCGTAAGCAGTTGGTCTGGGGAGCCCCGACGTCACTTGCCAGGGCCGTATTGGCCCAGTTACCCAGACGGGCAGTAGGTGGCCCCCCTCAAAATTTCTTTAGAAATTTTCTAGTTAGGGGGGC